GCCCCGGGGCGCCCCCGTGCCCCTCACCCACAGCCCCTGCGCGCCCCCCCGGGCGGAGCAGCCTCTCGGCTCCCAAGGCCCGTCTCACCAGGGTCCCAAACCTTCACCTACCTTGTCCCCGGCCTCAGCGCTCACCCTCTTCCCCAGCCCCGGGGTTTCAGCCCCGTCCCCACCTCACCCACCCCTATCCAGGCCCAGCTTCACCCCTCCTCTTTCCAGCTCCCGAGTTCCAATCCCAAATCCACTTCATTCCAATCCGGCCCAGCCCCACTCCGTGCTTAATTTCTTTCCATCCCAGCTTCACCCCCATTCCTGGTTCATTTCAACCCCCAGCTCCAACCCAGTTCACATACCAGCATCCCCTGGCCAATCTGCAGCCTGTCTCCACCCGTTCCTAGTCCATCCCCATCACTGCTCACCGCCATCTGTGTCCCCACCCCAAATCCAGCCCCATTTCTTTCCTATCCCAGCTCCAGCCCCACTCCCAACCCCTTGCCTAGCAGGCACCCCCACCGGTTCACCATACCCCATCCCTAGCTGCACCCTCCTCAGTCCAGCCTATCCTGTTCCCATTCTGATCCCAGCTCTCAACCACACCCCTCCATCCCTGCCTCCTTGTCCATTCGTAGCCCCAACCCAGCTCATTACCCCAGCATTCCCAACCTCTTCCCCCTTCCCTGCCCCACCCCTATGCTGAGCCCCAACTCCCTTACTAGCTGCCTCCTAGGCCCTCTCACAGGGGACCAGCCTAGGAAATCCTTTGCCTTCTCTCCCAAGCCTCAGGCCTCCCAGAGGAATCCCAAGTAGAGTTCCGGAAGCAGCATCTAACCCCAGACTCCCAAGGCAGGAGTCCTCCAAGGACACTCCAGGGCAGCCTCCTAGCACCTTTATTTCCCAAAGCTCTGAGCACAGAAGGCTCTGGGGCCTCAGAGAAGTCCCCTGCAGAGGAGTTGGCATCACTGCCAACTCCTTGAGGAGCTGAGGAAGGGAGAATGTGCACTGCCAGGGCCTCCTGGAACCTCTCCACTCCTTGCTGAGTTGGGACCCCGAAACCCTTCCCAGCTCTGAGAAGCCTCCCACTCCCATCCTCCCTGGGGAGGTGACAGAACCTGAGCAAGCTTTACCTGGTCCAGTGTGGGAAGTGGTGGAGGAGGGAGTCCCCCTGGGCCTCCGAGTTCCGAGTTGGGTGATGGGCCACGCCAAGAGGAGGAGAGCAGTGTGTGCACTGAGCTCCAGCAGTGGTTCCCAGGGTTTTGCAGTAAGAGGAACCTCTTAAAACTCAAAACAGCCTACAGGCCTCTGCCTGGGGAATCTCTGCGCCCACCATGCCGTGGACCCCTGGCCCTGGCGTTTTCTCCACGGCCCCCACCTGGAGCAAGGCCCAGGCAGAGTCAGTAGAATTCTGAGGAGGAAGGGGACCCCATAGCAGGGCTGAGGGGTACCAGGGAGGGGTAGGTAGAGGGGTCTCAGGCCTCAGTCCCTTCCTGCTTCCTGTGACTTGTCCAGGCTCAGAACTCCTCCCACCTTCCCCTCCCGGCACCTTCCCAGCCTCCTGCTCACTCAATTTGCAACCAAAAAACAGAAGCCCTAGTGCACACTCGCCCTCCCTCAAGTTCCTGCCTCCCCTAGCCACCTACAAACTCTCTCCAGCCACACCCATTCTCACCTCTTTGCCATCTATATTTTTAAATAAACTTTTAATTTTAGAACAGTTTTAGACTTACAGAAAAATTACAAAGACAGTACAGAGTCCCTATGTGCCCCGTCCACAGTTTTCTGTTTTTTCAGGGGAGCAAGAGGGTCCCCTGTTCCACGTCCTGAGACCTGCTCCTTCTGGTCTTCTCACTCTGCCCCTCTATACTGGCTTCGTCCGATAATTTATATATCTGTAATTTGTCTCCTCCTTCCCCTGTTGTCCCGGGCACTGTTCTGGCCAAAGTCACTAGTGACCCCTAAATTGCCAAATTCAGTGGCGCCGTCGTAGTCCTCAGTTTCCTCAACCGGGTGGGAGCAGGGTGACCACCGATCACTCTGTCCTCTGTGAACCTGCCTCCCTTCAGCCATCCGCTGCCCCTGAAACCCACACACTCAGCATTGGTGGGTGGGTGCTGGGTGCCTCCTGGAGGTTCTCCCACTAGGCCGCCACATCTACCACTCCCAGCACTGATCACCCTTCTGGTGCTAACATATCAGGTCTCTCCCACCTCCAGAGCATGAACTCCCCCCACACTGGGTGGCTGGTCCAATGGCTTCTGGGTCCTGGAGTGGAAAAGATGAGAAAAAAGGAGAATTCAGATCCAGAAGCTGGTCACTTACTGTCAGAGCTTGGCTAAAACCCTTTCCCTGTCTGAGTTGCCTCTTTGATGACATGTTGTGAGGATAAAATGTAACTGGATGGAAACTTAGAAAGTGAGAACCCACTCCCTTCCTCCTCGCAGCCCCGCCCTCCTCCCTCCCATGCCCACCTTCCTGTACTGTGCTCCCCCACACCTCTCAGGGAAGATTTCCTTTTTTTTTTTTATAATTTTTATTTATTTATTTATTTTTCCCCCAAAGCCCCAG